GCAGCCACTGTGACATCATCCAGCCAAGAGCCTGGCTTTTTTTAGGGGCTAACAGCCAAAGTGCTTCAAGGGTCAGAAAGAATAGAGAGGAAGAGAGAACTTTATTAGGCACCAAGACAGGGAGCCATGTGCTGTCAGGTCTCTGCTGACCCTCCTTGTTCCAGGGAGTACACCCCCAGAGTAGGGCACAGGGAAGAACCCGGGATGGTACACATTAGGAGGTAGTGTGCTCTCCAAGAACACAGCCTCTCCCTGCCAGGTGAGGGGTGTCTGGCACCTACTGCAGGGCTCCGGCGATAGATGAGAAGCTAATACTAAATGGAAGAAGACTTGGCCCAGAACCAAAAGGCTACAGCTTGGTCCTGCAGCTCACTAACCTCACCATCCTGGTGAGGGACAAGATTACCCTTCCTGGGCCTCATTTCTTCCTTCTAGAAAACAAGCACAAAGATCAAGCTGATTGCTAACTCCCTTGCTAACTTAACACGGATCATCTCAGATTTTATATGTCTACTGAAATCTCTTAACTTCCCTGCCCCCGTCTCTGCTAAAACTCAAAAATGAACTATCGGTAGCTGCCTTTGTTAGCCATCTTCCTAAACACATCCTTTTTTTTTTTTCCCAAATCAAAGATGGCACATAGTTCCCATTTCCTTTTTTTTTCAGAGTACAAAAAGCACTGTCAAAACACATCAAACATTATGAAGTGGCAAATGAGAACAATCTTCAAAAACCCAGAGTTAAACGTGGCTATTTCTCAATATCTAAATATTTGCACAACGAAGATCTAGTGTGAGTTTTACAACCCGAGAAAGACACTTGCTCTTGCATAATATGAGGCCTGGAGAGGTTAACTGACTTGCTAGGTCACAAAGTAAGTTAGTGGCAAAGCCTGGGCAAAGTTAGTGGTGCCCAGCTGTTTATACACCATAGATCATTATCTTCCTAACCAACCTGTCTTTCTGGATTTTCTGCATTATTTCTTGATTTAGAGACACACACTTTACAAACCAAAATCAAGACATGTTGCAATAGACTGGTCAGCAGCTTACTGATCCCACTAGGCTTACTTGGCTGAAGTAAGAAATCAATCTCACCCAAAGGCATTCCATCCCCACTGACCCTGATAGGATATTCAGGTCTCCAGCAGCACAGAAAACCCAGAGTCTAACTGCCAAGTCTCTACACACCACGAAGGCTGCAGATCGGAAGAGACGACAGAAAAATGGAGTCATGCCAGCATTTCATCATGCTGGGATGAATAATTGAATCAGGTAAGACATGTGCATGTAGCCCTCTCATCTTCACAACTGACAGCTGGGAATGGCCTGGCCATTTGTCTCTGGAAATCCGAATCCGAATAGGAAAGCTAGCGATTTCGATGTGCAAGACAGGAACCCGAGGCAGCACAGCGTTAGTGCCCTTTTCCTCCCAATAATAGGTCAATATTGAGACGTCACCCTTCCACTTCTAATTCAGACTATGTTGCTTTTCACAGTTACCAGCCTATGTATGTGTTTAGGTATTTTCAGATTTGGTAATCAGGCTGTGTGACGCCTTTTGTCTCACACATGGCCTAATTAGATGTAGGAAGCACCCTCTCACAACGAAACACCCAGAAAGACCTTTCGTGTGATTGGGAATACACTTTATCCATGGTTGTGCCACTATAATCTCAAGTTAGAGTGTCTAGGACAAGACAGACTTATGGACAAGCCACGGCCAGTTATTTTTATCTAGTGTTCTTTAAGACAAGGTACAGGCAAAGTACTTAAAAGAGATCTACAAAGAAAATAATAGCTCATTTTGTGCTTTTCTAAGGTGCTGGGGCAATGGTAAAAATGCAAACAAGAAGACCCCAAACTTGGCCATGTCTGCTTTAGTCTGTGTTGCAACTTCAGCAACACAGACTCAGCACTGCCCAGAAGCGCTTCTGAAACTGGCTTTTATTGCTTTAATTAACCAAGGCGAGGAGGACAGCTTTACTCCATCTCCATAACGCTACTGTTGCCAGCTCAAGGCTAAGGACAGCTCTTTACCTCTTGCACTTGATACCAGGCCCGTACAATTAGCATCTTATTATAGGCTGGCCTCTCTTCTAATTACCACACGACTCAATTAAGCACTTTATTTTATTGTCTTGTTCACGCATTAGGTCAAGGGCTTGGGATCCCTCAACTATAATAAATCCTCAACTCCTTTTAGGCAGGTGCTGTGTTTTAGTTTTTTTTTTGTTTGTTTGTTTGTTTTTTAATCTCTTTAGGCTCACGATGTACTGGGGATTCACAGGCATGCAAACACTCCCAGACTGTTTGAAGAGCTTCTAGATGGCACTTCTGGGAGCATGGCTCATGGCTGGAACCTGGCTTTCCACACACGCCCAGCCAACCACACGTGCTAGATCCCGTGGGCTTCTGTGCTGTGTAGGGACGAGTCCGTAGCCACCTGGAGTTGACCTGCAGCCTGCTTCGACACAGGCTCTTCCTATCGGCATCACATCCGGTGTTCCTCTAGAAAAAGGATTCAGGGGATGTAGGTCTATGTTTAAACGGACTCCTTGTCTCTGGAGTTACAACCACAGCTCAGAGTGCAGCTCTCAATCCGTACCAAGGACCTCCTTTCTGCCCGCGAGGAAGCTGTGTAAGCTGCACTGCCACAGGAGCTGCAAAGCCCACTCTGGTGCTGGCTCTGCCGTTTATGATGTGACCTGTGACTTTGTTCAAGGCACTTAATCTCTCTGTGCCTCAGTTTCTCTATCTGTAAAATAGGGCTAACAGAACCTGTCTCACAGGGTTGTTCTGAGGGCTGAATCCGTCTTTTAAAGTGCTTAGAACACTGCTTGGCACATAGTAAGCACTTCCTAAGGTAAAACCAACAGTACAGAGCTACAAAATAGCATGCTCCCGAAGACTCAGGCGGGACAACCAGCTGGTGTAATGGAATAATGGACCATCCTTGGAGTCTTGATTTTGAAAATATCTGAATGCCCTACTGCTATCCAGGTGATAAAAATGGTCTGTCAGCCTTTAAATACAACGTTTAATGAGGGCATCATTCTCAGAGAATTCAAAACATCCCACTATTCTCACTTCTCCTACCACTTCGCCTAATGCATCCGACATTGCTCTAAGAAAATTCTACTGACCCTTCTCCAGCAAGGAACCTTTTGCCAATTGTCAAGGGGACAATTTAAACATATGTCCTTTATTTTAAAAGGCGAAGAATTTTCATAAAGATGACTCCACAGTATCCAAACTGGGACTTTTCTCCCTGTATCCTGTCTGAGGTGCCAATTTGCTGCCACCTTTAAAATTAGGGGTGAAGAGGTTTTCTTCTGCCCAGGGCCATTTGGATATTGATAACTATTCGTGGGCCCTAAAGAATTATCACCTTAAAAATCAGCCTGCTGTAGATTTACTGAATCTCTGGCCCCACCTGCCACAGCCTTGGCAGGGCCAGACCAAATGATTTCGCAGGCCTTACACACCAGCAGGCTGAAGTTCCCCATGCCTGTTTCGGATCCTCAATCCCTTTCGATGCGCCAGCTACTACAATCCCATTTCCAGAGTCTCTCCTTCCAGAACAATCTCCACTTGTACCGCCTGTGGTCCCTTATCTCACCAGAGTTCATAACACAAAATTCAGCCGCTAACCACACACAAGGGTGTCGCGGCGCCACCACAGGTGGGGCTCCTGTGCCTTCATCAGGGAGGAAACCCTTCCGGTCTCATTCTCGCAGTTTACCTGGAAGGCAAAGTCCAACCCCAGCAAGAAGTCCTCCCTTAAGGAGCGTGTGTAGAGAGCCGTGTGGACGCACAAGAAACGGCGCATGCCCAGTCGACTGAGGCGTGACAGCGAGCATCGATCTCGGAATATATCTTGAGAACGCGGGCACGAACAGCAAAGGAAGGAGAATCAGCGCGGGCGGGCAGGCACTTCCTCTCAACACCCCTCTCCGACCACTCCCAACCCCGCTGCACCAACTGATGCTAGCGGGAGACCACTAACCACCAGGCTCCCTGGTTATGTTGGCCTCGGGGCCTTCCCCTGCCGCCTGGGGAGCTTCCCTGGTGAAGTTGTGTTTCACTTAGTGTAGAAGGTACCCAATAGTTATCTCTGAGTCACTATTTAAAGCTATTGTCTGAGAAACATTAACCCTATTTTGGATGATCAAAAGTTACTTTCACTTTTGAAAACAGGGAGGTTCCTCAAAAATGGGGCATCAGCAAAAGGCACCAGGTGCCTGCCTTACTCCACTCGGTTTGGGTTCACTTTCCCCTGTTTATTCGCATGGCTCCTTTAAAACCTGCAGGGTACCCTGTCTACCCGCCTTGATAGGTTCCTTCGTGACCCCAACTTCACCTTGCAGGTACCGTCTCAGGAAAGCCAAAGCCAATACTCCCGCTCAGCCCCCGCGTTGGGCAGGCTCCCCCTACCCCAGGCCCACCCTCCACCCCCACCCCGCAGGCGTCCACAGCTCCCAGCGACCACCCCCATTAAGCAGGGGTTCCAGCTCCCGCTACGAGGCACAGGTTACCAAGCACCCTCCCCCAGCACTGTCTCTGGGGCAATGGTCCCGCAGCCACACCAGGCCAAGGGACCCTGCAAGGTCCGGGGTCAGTGTCCGGTCGGCGCGAGGGGGAGAGCGAGCGAGAGAACCCTCCTGGGGTGCAGACGCCTCAGACTAGTGCTCCCTACTCCCGGCCCAGACCCTTCCGACCGAGAACGACCCAAAAAGAGCTGCATCGCCTCCTCGTCTCCGGCCATCCTAGGAACGGGGAAGCGGGAGGGGGAGCGAGGAGACAGCCTCCCACCCCCCACCGCCAATCACGACACCCGCTCGCTCCCCTCACTCGCGGCGCGCTCTCTACTTCAACTCCACTCCGAGAAAGCCGCGCGGCGCGCTTCTCCCGCCGCGAGTCCCCCGGCCCCGGTCCATGCCCCTTGCCTCACCCCACCTTCTTCAAGCAAGCCAAGCCCGGTTTCCTCTCCCAACTGACCGTGAAGCCGGAGGCAGTTCCCCAGTCCCAGGCCCCCGGTAGGGTTCCCGCCGCCGTCGCCGTCGCCTTCCTCTGCAGTCCGCGACCCGGGATCCGGCCTCGGGCTGCGGCGATGGCTCCCCGGCACCAGGCGCCGCGGCTTCCTGGAGTCGGCCAGACACCGGGCGGCGCGCAGGAGAAGCCCATGGAGCTCCCGGCGGCGGCGGTGGCGGTGGCGGCGGCCGCGGCTTCACGGCCGCCGCGCAAGCTGATGACGCGCGCGCGCGGGGGGCGCGGTCGGCGAGGGCGACGCGGGTAGATGACGTGACCGCGCGGGCGGCTCTGCAGCATGGCGTCCGTGGCGCTGAGCGAGGCGGAGAAGGTGTACATCGTGCATGGCGTCCAGGTAGCAACAGCATCGGCGGCGGCGTGGCTCTCGGGTTCCCCCCAGATGCTGCGGGTCTGGATTTACCGCGATTGAACCCCGCTGTGGGTGTTTTTCGGGCTGGGAGGCCAGCGTCCCCTTAGGAGTTGTTAGCGCCCTTGCTGCTTCCCAAGCGGGTGAGATCTGCACCTTGGGACCAAGAGAGGACAGGCCTCGAGGCCTGCTTTTGTGGCCAGGCGCACCGATCCTCAGGGCCGCCACCGGACGCGGCCTTGGCGCGTTTGGCCGGGCCGAGCCTCAGCTGTGCGGGGAATGAGGGCTGAGTGGGCTCGTGGCCTGCTTCCCCGCCCTCGCGGTTGGGAATGCCCGCGAGCCGTTAGCGCTCTGCAGGTGTGCATCTTGCCCGCGGAGGCGTGTTTCTGGAAGCCGGCTCAGCAGCCTGCAGGGGGCATGCGAAGCCCCCTAGACAGCGCTCACCGCAGATGGTGTTGTCTTCAGCCCCTGGTTTTGTCGGTAACGAGTCTCCCCGTGTCTCTGGCTCGGGCCCCACTAAGTAACCCACATGGCAACACGCCTCTCCCCCAGAGAGCCCACCCCGGTGGAGGAGTTGCGGGCGCAGCCTCTCCCCCGTGTCTTCACGCACCAACTGCAGCGGCAGGGCCCGTGATGCAGCCGTCCAGTGAAGGAGGCCAGCTATCATTAAAGCTCCACGATGGGAGAGCTTTAAAAAAAAAAAAAAAAAAAAAAAAAAAAAGATTTGAGAGGCAGAGAGACAGGTCTTCCATCTGCTGGTTCACGCCCCAGATGGCCGCAATGGCCAGAGCTGCACTGATCCTGAGCCAGGAGCTTCCTCCGGGCCTCCAACGCGGGTGCGGGAACCCAAGGACCTAGGCCACCTTCCACTGCTTTCTCAGACCATAGCAGGGAACCCGATCGGAAGTGGAGCTTCTGGGACTCAAACCGGCGCCCAGATGGGATGCCGGCGCTGTAGGCAGCGGCTTTACCCGGTAGGCCACAGCACCGGCCCCTGGAGAGCTTTATTAAAAAAATTGCGTCCTGCTGTTTTCTGTGCCCCTTATAGACAAAGAAACATCAATATTTGGTCGGCAGGTTGCATATTAAACGTGGATAATATAAGCCAGACTTGACAGTTCCGTGAGGTCTTTAAACTTCAGGATCAGGAATACAAAAGATAGTCCTTGGGGAGGCATTAAGGATGATGTTTTGTCTCACTCTAAAAACGTTGGTTTTCTCTCTTGCCACAGCCATGAACTATTGATTCTGTCTTGTAGCCAGTTTTCTCTTACATTCCATTTCTGAACGTGGCACCAGGGCCCAGAGAACAGGCAAGCCAGATGTGCCTGCTCTGCCACTTTGCAAAGTTGGAGATGGTGCCCCCACACCCTGAGCACCTGAAGCAGCCAGCTCTGCTCCCACCTGCCTGAGGTCCCGAGGTCTCCTGATCCTTCTGAGGATTTGGGAGTCAGAATGAGCAGATTTCTTTTCGCAGCTTTGCCCGTCACAAGAATTGATTCCACCTGAATAACAGCTTGCTCTCCGTGGTAAAATGAGGACACATTCACCTGGGGACAGAATGGGATGATGAGAGATGAGATGTTAGGCACCTGGTGTGTGGTCAGGTGCCCTTAGGAGGCTTTCTGAGCTGACAGCTTTTGAGAAGAACCTTCTAGAAGATAGCAGGAGTGGCAGGAAAGAGCCCTGTCCAGAGTGCAGACGCCACTTGCTACGTGGCCTAGGGCCCATCCTCTGGCATCTGCTGGCCCGTTTCCTTCCCCTTTCTAAACGCAGTGAAGAGCACCACCTTACAGGGTTAATACAGAGCTTCGGTGCTTTCACTGTGTGGTGGTCCTGGCACTTCGGTCTGGCGTATGGTGACTGCCCAGTGAGTAGCAGCTGCTGCTATTGATGGGAAGTCACTGTACCGTTTCCATTTAAAGATCTGTAGAAGTAGAGAATCACCTTTGAGACTTGCTCATTCCATGTCGTCTTTGACAAGTGAGGAAGCTAGTCCAGACAGGGAAGGGGTGGGTTCCAGGTCAAGCGTCCGGTTGTCGGCAACCATGTCTGGCAGCCATGACGAGTGCTCCTAGTGGTTGCTCGCACTCGTACCATCCCTGCAAGCCACAAAGCATTCCTCGGAAGTTGTATTTCCCGGCTGGGCTTTCACTCTCCCAGCTGGGCACATCTAGGGAGTGGGACATGGAGTGGGAAGGGTGGGTGTCAGAGGTTGACCTAGAAAGCCTTCCGGGCCTGTGGGGAAGTAGTGGAGACACCTGGTTATGTCGTCCTGGTTACGGGAGCCCTTGATGGACTCTGCCCAAAGGCCTGCTCGCCTGTCACCTTTGCGCATCCATCTGCGTGCTTCTGCTTCCACCTGCCTGACGCTCTTGGCTCGAGGGGGAAGAGCTAAAGCCCCTGCGACGGGGGTGGTGGTTGCTGGCATTTAGGGGGGCCTCCAGCAATATTTTGCATTTCTTTTTATAATTTCTCAAAAGTCAGTTTCCATGTGCAGGTACCCAGGCAGATTTAAGATAAATTCCTGACAGTCGCATACTTTAGAGCAGCAGGTTTTGGGTTTTTGGGGTCTTGGGGGATATTTTTTTTTTAAGATTTATTTATTTGCAAGACAGAGTTACAGAGAGGTAGAGAGAGAGAGGTCTTCCATCTGCTGGTTCACTCCCCAGATGGCAGCAATGGCTGGAGCTGGGTCAATCCGAAGCCAGGAGCTTCTTCTGGGTCTCCCACATGGGTGCAGGGCCCCAAGGACTTGGGCCATCTTCTACTGCTATCCCAGGCCATAGCAGAGAGCTAGATTGGAAGAGGAGCAGCCAGGACTAGAACCAGTGCCCATATGGGATGCCGGCATTTCAGGCCAGGCCTTTAACCCTCTGCGCCACAGCACCGGCCCCAAGATTTATTATTTTCAAAGTCATAATTAGAGGGAGAGTTAGAGAGGGAGGTCTTCCATCCACTAGTTCACTCCCCAGAAGCCACTATGGCCAGGCCTGGGTCAGGCCAAAGCTCAGAACCAGGAGCTTTAGCCAGGTTTCCCACGTGGGTGGCAGGAACCCAGACACTTAGGCCACATTCGGTTGTCTTCACAGGTGCATTAGCAGGGAGCTGGATCAGAAGTGGAGCAGCTGGGGCTAGACCCAGTGCCCCTATGGGATGCTGGTGTTGCAGGTGGTGGCTTTACCCGCTATGTCACAATGCTGGCCTTGGGCAGGTGGGGAGGTTTTTTTTTTGTTTTTTATGTTTTGGTGGTACATCAGCTCCTTTGAATAACTTATAAACTAATGATTCTTTTTCTGAAAAAAAGAAAAAAGCTTCCAAACCTGTTTGGGTTTGACTTTTGGGTCCATATTCTGGTGGTGGTTCATCCTGTGAATTGCAGTGCCAGACACACCAGCTGAAGGACCTGCAGTGAGACTCTTAGTGCCCCCCACGTCTCCATTTCCCTTATGGTAATATTAGCTCAGAGGACGGAATTCTGGATGTCCCACTAAGAGGAAGGGAGAAGCACTGTATACTTCTCGAGCGGAAAGACAGCAGCGGATGGGTCAAGGAGTCCGGTCATTTTGGGGTCACAGCTTTAGGACTGTGGTTGTTGCACTCAGGAAGACCTCCGTGTGGATGGCCGTGGCTGTGAAGACTACCGATGTGTCGAAGTGGAAACCGATGTGGTGTCCAACACCAGTGGGTCTGCCAGGGTCAAGCTGGTGAGTATTGGGGCCACAGTTCATTCCCAGGTGGAGACATGGGTAGGCCCCAGGGAGCCAGTGCAGAGGAGCCCTTGCGGCTTTTGGAATGCAGCTTGCTCCTGGGGACATCCAAGGTCCAAGCCCAGCTCAGGGAGGGGGGTCCATTCAGATCTGAAACACCCTTCCCCTCCTCGGAAGTCACCTGCCAAGTCCTTCAGGGCTACATGTCCCGAAGAGGAGGCTGGTGGTTGGGTGCCTGGCTGCCTGCCTCCAGTGAGGACCCTTCTCGTCTGTGTCTGCAGGGTCATACCGACATCTTGGTGGGAGTGAAAGCGGAAATGGGGACGCCAAAGCTGGAGAAGCCAGATGAGGGCTACGTGGAGTTCTTTGTTGACTGGTCAGTACTAATGCAGTGCTTTCAGAGGGGGTGATTTAACGGGTACAGATGGAGAATGGGAACCCCTGGTTTCCTGTGGCGCATGCTCTTGGTTTGCATTTAGTTGTCGCTCGGCCATCTGGCAGGTATTCACTTGCCTCGTCTTACCTGCCGGGTTCTCAAGAGCCTTGCCCTTGTTTTAATCATCTAGTGACTCCAGCTTCCCACCAGTGCAGACCTTGGGAAGTTGTGGTGATGGCTCAAGTAATGAGGTTCCTGCCACCCACATGGGAGACCTGGATTGCATTCCTGGCTCCCAGCTTCACCCTTGGCCTAGCCCAGGCTCTTGTAGGCATTTGAAGAATCAACTAGCTAATGGGATAGTGTGCTTCTCTGTCTCTTTCTCTCTGCCTCTTCAATAAATCTTTTTAAAAGTTATTTCTCTCCCTCTTGTTATCTCCCCCTCTAGGGGTTGGGAGTGTTTTTGGATTGCTGGCCTGGTCCCTTCTTCTGTCTATAACCATGTTTCTAGAAGCAGGTGGTTGTAGCAGGCCTTCCTGAAGCAGGTAAGCTCCTGCTCCATGTGGGTGTTTGGTGTTGATGCTCCGCTGGGCGTCCCCAGGGCCACTTCCGTGTTTGGAGACTGGCTGCCAGGGCTTAGCACGTAGTTGCACTCCTGGCTACAAT